TCAAGAGTTTTCATTTGAGTACCCACATGCATTTTGGTATATTTTTCATATATACATATATATATATATATATATATATATATATTATATATGTATATATGAAAAATATATCAAAAATGCGTGTGTGTACTCAAATGAAAGCTCTTGATGAGTGTAACACCGGGATGAGCTTATATCTTTAATAACGTCAATATTTAAGAAAGTACAGTGCAATTAAACAATAAAAGTCATTATTAAGAAATGACCTTGTATCTTGAGAACTATTGACATTTTCAAAGATATATAAGCTCACCCTGACGTTACACTCATCAAGACCTTTCATTTAAGTACCCACATCAATTTTTCATATATTTTATATATTTATATAAATGAATATATGAAAAATATATAAAAATGCATGTGGGTACTCAAATGAAAGCTCTTGATGAGTGTAACATCGGGATGAGCTTATATGATCAAAAACGTCAATATTTAAGAAAGTACAGTGCAACTTAACAAAAGACATTATTCAATAAAGCAAAATTTGAAAGTTTGCTAGTTTGAATTAATTTCTTATTATTTAGATACATATGATAATGTTACTAGAAGTAAGAGAAAAAAATAATTTATATCAAATCAACATAAAAATATCTTAAAATAAATTAATTTTAAGAAAAATTAATTTTGTCTTTAATTGTTGAAGTATTACATAATTCATTAATTCAAGATACAATGATTGTTTTTTATTGTTTAATTTAATAATTCCGTTCCAACGGGCATCAATCACATTCTATATAAATTAAGTGACTTCAATTAATGTATAATATAACTCGTAAAAATTATATTATTAGAATTCTTGAATTTATTGCGTCAGAGGATTGATTAATGGCTTTTTGAAAAAAATTAACACTGTTATAATAAGAAATTAATTTTTTGAAAATTTTATTTTTTAATCAAAATTTTTCTTACAGTACTTTTATTGATGAAAAAAATTTTTTTGATCTGGAAAAAAAAAACAATTTGAATAGACAACAACATTTTTTTCAACAAGAAAGTTACTGTCAGAAAAGTTGTTATTTCTTCAGTTAAGAAATAAAACTGTTAAAAATTTTTAACAACTTAATTTCTTATTGTAACATTGCTAATTTTTTTAACAATAAATTTTTTTTTTAGTGTACAATAATGTTTAATTATCACCCCTCATCAAACTGTTCCTGATTATAAAATATAATTTGAAAAGACTAAAAACAATTTGAAACAATTGAAAATAATTTGAGTTGACTAATATATAGATGTACACTTTGCATGGATTTAATTACTTCAAACTAGATTTCTCAATCAAATTTATAAAAATTAAATACTTTTTAAAATAGTTTAAGCTAACATAAAACATAAATTAAGCTAAACATAAGTATTGAATTTTAATGATATGTATCCATTAGTATAGAAGATAAACAGTGAGTTAGGAAAATAACATAAAAAATATTGTTATCTCAGATATAAATCCTTTAATCTATTGAATTTTATGTTCTCATCATAATGTTGTGATTTATTCTGTGCAATGTAAAGTTACTTTACTTTATATAAAATTTATCATAGCTATTTGGCCTTCAGCTTGGCATTGAAATCACACAGAAAAAACGACTCTGCAAAATTTACAGAAAAAGTATGTAATTATTACAGGTGAAAATTATATGAAAATTGCATATTTTTTTTGTAAAATTTACAGATAATTTCTGAGAAATCTATAAGAGTATTATGTTATCTTTGCAGAGTAACTTCTCGAATTAAAATTAAGCTTGATTATAAATTAGAAATGTAAATAATAATCTGTTGATAGTAAATTTAAAATTTTTATTCTACGTGAATAATTTTTTTACTGATCATAAAAAAATAATTTGTCTAGAAGTAAGGTGGTATAAATAAACTTGCAGTAATTCTGACTCGAGTAATATTTTTTAATTCATTACGATAAATTTTTAGTAATAATTACAGAAAAAGTTATATTATAATTACAGACTCAATATAAGTTAAATTTACAGATTTATAATAACAGAATTTACAACGTAAAAATAATATTGAGTTCTGTAAATTTTATATAAGTCGACTTATAGATAGAATTTTATAAATTTTACAACACATTTTTTTCTATACAAATTTCCTCCGACCCGCATTTTCTTCTCAGATAAAAATCACCTGCTTGTCACATTCTTTCTTGTTATATATTTTCTGGAATTTATTTTACTCTGATAAAATCTATCTTTATACCTGAAAAGTCTTTTTTAATGACTCCACCCTCTACCAGTTCGATTTCCCTGACCATACCTTAAACTTAAATATAGTTTTGCCTTAGTAACATGTGTTAGTACGTTTTTGAAACATTCTATTGCAGAGTGCAGTTCAAAACACGTGTTTAAAAATATAAAAAATAAAAAATTTGATTTTATTTATTTAAAACTGTTGAATATTAATATAAAAATTTTGTCAATTGCAGATGTTTAATTTGTTTGACCTCCGGCCTATTAATATTGTCAAAAAACGTAAAGAAGAAAACCGAGAATTTTGTGATGGTTGATGATAAGGGACCACGTGAGAAATACAGTAGTGTAAAAAGTAAAATGTAAATTACTTTTAATTTTTATAAAGTGTTATTGTACATTCCGGAAAGCCATTGACAAATATATCAATGAGATTTGTTCATCAATTGAACAAATTGGTACGTAGAGAATCACAATGGATGCCACCAAAACGACGACTAATCCAAATCCTCGGGAGAAAGCCAATTTTTTATCAGTCTTATTTTGGACATGGACACTGAAACTTTTTAGAACTGGATATTCTAAAATTTTAGAACCAGAGGATTTATTTGATCCGCTAAAAATCGATCGATCGAGTGTTCTTGGTGATAGATTAGAAAAGTAAGTTTTTTATTTAATTATATTCACTCGTGGAAATATTTCTTTGTCAAAAAAGAAAAAAGTTTTACTAAATCTGTAGAACTTTTTCTTTGATATAAAAAGACGGAGTGTTCTCTATAAGATTTAATTTTTCAAAAAAAATCTGAACTTTTTTGACAGCCACACAAATTTTCTACAAAAAATATTAACTATAACTTTTTTTGTAGCTGCACTGATTCTTTTTTTCAGGGAAAATAAAAGTTTTAAATTTTTGATTTATATTTACTAAAAATTATTTTTTTTTCTGGCAGAGAAATATTTCCACAAAAATATTTCATCTAAAATAGCAGTAAAATTTTCCGGTATTGAAATAATTTATTTTATAATTTTGTTATTAGAATTAATAATCATTTAATATAAGTTTTAGTAACAAAGTATATCGTGACATTTTACATTTGAATTTTAGGAGTGATTACTATCGAGGTTCATGATTTCTTCTGTAAAATTTTAATTAACTTAAGGTAGTTGTCGTGGTTAAGGCATACCATCAGAAAATTCTAAATTTTTGTATACTTATTAAGGATATGATGATACAATTACCCTAAAAATTTGAAGTCGATTGACAACCTATAACCCGAGATGAATTCAATTAAAAATTGGATATTTAACATTAATTGCATACGCTCTCTGCAGTTCTGTACCAGTTTCTTCATTACAAAAAATTTAACACTTTTTGGTGTTGATTTAACACAATAAATGTTAAATCAACACAAAAAAGTGTTAAATATTTAACACTAAGTTTTTTGACGCAATGACGCAAAATTTTTTACTGTGTGGGTTGCATCTCCACGGTTACAGTCTTGCGTAAAAATTATGGATTACATAGCTACAAATTCATATACTTTTGCGGCGCGTATAATCTCTAATTATTTGACAATATTCTACCATGACAACTACCATAAAGTTAAATCAGAATAATTAAATATGTAATTAAATTTTTGTATTTGCACATATTTACTTTGAATAAGTAAATAAAGAATAGACAAAATTAATTTCTTTAATAACACACTCGTAGAATTACAATTAGAAAAAAATAAAAATTTTTAAGATTAAAATTTTGAGCTTTGAAAGATAAGTTTCATTTTTTTAATTTATAAAATTGAAAATTTAATTTTTGATTGCTTTCACAAAATATTTAACAATTGTTTTACAAGCAAATAATAAATTTTCTATTGAATTTTTTAGGCAATGGAATTTAGAATTAGAAAGCACCAAGAAATCGAAACGCCGTCCAAACTTTTTGAAAACTATTTTTCGATGTTTTGCATGGGAATATTTCATGTTTGGAATATTACATACCTTCAATGAATTTATTCTTCGGTAAGTTACTTCTTTCAATCTCATAAGGCAATGATATGAAAAGCGATGGTTTATTATTGCAAATTTACGAAATATTTCATGATATATGTTTCAGATTAGGAACGCCATTACTTTTAGGACAGCTCTTAAGATATTTCCGAGGAACTGGGGGCAGTTATTATAATGATGCATTAATGTACGCTGGTGGAATTTGTTTAGCAACAGGAATTAATGCCATTACTTTAAATCAATCAATTTTCGGAGCATTTCATCTTGGTGGTAAAATACGTATTGCCGTGTGTTCAGTTGTTTATCGCAAGGTAACTAATAACGATAATTTACTTCAATAGTAGAGTAATAAACAAATAAAATAATTAATAACGTTGTTTTGTTTTGTTTTTAGGCTTTGCGATTAAGTACGACAGCGTTAGGTGAAACCGCACCGGGAAAAATAGTAAATTTGGTAGCAAACGATGTCAATAGATTTGATCTTGTATCAATCTTTCTTCACCACATGTGGTCAGCACCGTTAACGACAATAATAATAGGATACTTTTTATATACAGAGGCTGGTTATGCTGGCATACTGGGAATTGGGGCTGTATTTATTGTTGTACCAATCCAATCATATACTGGTAAACTGTCGTCAAAGTTTCGCTTACAAACGGCGATCAAGACCGATGAACGTGTCCGTTTAATGGATGAAATAATATCTGGTGTGCAAGTGATCAAAATGTATGCATGGGAAAAACCATTTTGTACAATGATAGCGTTAGCGCGAAAATTAGAACTTAAAGTGGTGCAAAAAAATTCGTGGATTCGGGGTATTTTTATGACTTTTAATTTATTCACAACACGTGTCGCTATTTACTGTACACTTGTTGGTATGTTATTTTTTGGCCAGCAAATAACTGCCGAAAAAGCATTTGTCTTTTCATCGTTGTTTAATATATTAGCGCACACAATGTCTGCAATGTTTGTTCGTGGTATTGCTGAAATAGCTGAATGTATCGTAGCTGTTCGAAGATTACAATATTTCCTGATGTACGATGAAGTCGAAAATGTCAATCGCACTGTTTATTCTGGGAGATTATCTGTAGATCATGGAAGTATTGGTGTCAATAATAAACTGTCATCATCAACAAAGTTTGATTTACCGTACATTGATGATGAAAGTAATGATGTGACTTCTGATACTATCAATACAAAATTAATAAGACATAATGAACCAACTAGTGTTCCACAAAATAAGCATCAAAATGATAAAAACAAATCATGGGCCGTTAAACTTACAAACGTAACAACAAAGTGGGAACCGAGTAATCCGGAAAACACTTTACAAGATATTAACTTTAAATTAGAACGTGGCAAATTGTATGCGATTATTGGAGCAGTAGGTGCGGGTAAAAGTTCACTGTTATCTGCTATACTTGGAGAATTACCTCTGATGCAGGGAAGTGTGGAATTGAAAGGTGGATTAAGTTATGCAGCTCAAGAAGCCTGGGTTTTTGGTTCAACGGTACGTCAAAATATTATTTTCGGAGAACCATATGATCGTCAACGATATCAAAGAGTTGTAAAAGCTTGCGCATTATTGAGTGATTTCAAACAATTCCCACAAGGTGATCAGACGATCGTAGGTGAACGTGGGAGTTCATTGTCTGGTGGGCAGAAAGCGCGGATTAATTTAGCACGTGCTGTATACCGTCAAGTGGATATTTATATTTTTGATGATCCATTAAGCGCTGTTGATACGCATGTGGGTAAACACTTATTTGAAGAGTGCATTCAATATTATTTAGCTGGCAAGACACGTGTCCTAGCAACTCATCAATTGCAATATATCAAAAGTGTTGACGGGATTCTGCTAATGGAACACGGCACAGTGCGATTGTTTGCAAATTACATGGATTTGTTAGCTATATGTCCAGATTACTCGACTCTACTGGCATCTGACTCGACGAGTGAAAATGATGAATCATTGTCACTATCAGCTGAAAAAATATCAATGCGTCGTCAGTGGTCAAGCGCGAGCAATCGCAGCCGAACACCTGATCAATCCGGTGGTGATACAGACGTTGAAGATGACGAGGAGGAAAATGAAGTGATAAATAATATTGAAGGCACATCTCGTGGTGTCATCAAAGGTTCAATATTCATGAAATATTTTAGATCCGGGGCGAACATTTGCTTTGTCATTATGGTCGGCATTTTATTCTTATTAACGCAAGGAGCAGCAAGTCTTAATGATTATTTTGTTCAGATTCTCGTAAATGAAGAAGAGACACGTTATGTGGAGCATTTGACCAAAAGTAGTAACAATACAGACGAACCAGCTGTTAACCAATATGATATTACTCCAGCTTTTCCGTATGTATACGCTTACACAGGAATTGTGTTGTCAGTGTTCGTAATCGGAATTACAAGATCACTATCATTTTATGCTCTTTGTGTAAAAGCAAGTCAACGCTTACATGATTGGTCATTTGAAGCATTAATTAGAACGAGTATGCGTTTCTTTGACACAAATCCAAGTGGCAGAATATTGAATCGCTTCTCCAAAGACATGGGTGCTATTGATGAGTTATTACCCAAAGCATTGCTTGATGCTGGACAAATAATAATGATGATGGTTGGTTCCTTAGTAATTGTTTGTGTCGTTAATCCAATATTCATCGTACCGCTAGTTATCATTGCATTTATATTTTATTGGATCAGAAAAGTGTATTTGAAAACAAGTAAAAATGTTAAGCGTTTAGAAGGTATGATGAGATCACCAGTATTCACGCATTTAAATACAACACTCAATGGTTTGTCGACAATACGTGCTTACGGTGCTCAAAATATACTTAAAAAAGAATTTGATAATTTCCAAGACTCACACAGTTCGTCGTGGTACATGTTTATTACGACAAGTACGGCTTTCGGTTTTTCGTTGGACTTATTTTGTTTTCTTTTTACAGCGATTGTAACATTTAGTTTTGTATTGATAGATATGGGTATATCAGGTGCTGAAGTTGGTTTGGCAATCACAACTGTTATGTCAATGACTGGAATGATACAGTGGGGAATGCGCCAGGGTGCTGAAGTTACAAACCAATTAATGTCAGTTGAGCGCGTACTTGAGTACACATTATTGCCACCCGAAGATAATGTATTTGATGAAAAACAAATGTTGAAGAAGACAAAGGCCAAAACCTCCAAAAAGAAAGGGATTCTTGTTGAAGAGAAGATTGTAAATCATTCACCGGAATCATGGCCAACCGAGGGATGTATCAAATTTCATCATGTGTACATGCGTTATGTAGAAGAAGATCCTCCAGTACTTAAGGGGCTGAATATAGTTATCAAAGCCAAAGAAAAAGTGGGCATTGTCGGTAGAACAGGCGCTGGTAAATCTTCACTTATTTCTGCTTTGTTCAGATTAGCTAAAGTTGAAGGTGTCATTGAAATCGATGGCATCGATACGGGTTCTATTTATCTCGAAGATTTGCGTCGAAACATTTCGATTATACCTCAAGATCCGGTATTATTTTCCGGGACACTACGTAAAAATTTGGATCCATTCAATGAGTTTAAGGATGAAGCGCTGTGGTCAGCATTAGAAGAAGTCGAGTTAAAAGATTCATTTGCGATGGTAAATGGATTAGACTCACGAGTGTTTGATCGTGGTACCAATTTCAGTGCTGGACAGCGACAATTGGTTTGTCTTGCGCGCGCTATTTTACGAAATAACAAAGTACTTATGCTTGATGAAGCCACGGCAAATGTTGATCCACATACTGATGGTCTCATTCAGCGTACAATACGCACCAAGTTTTCTGAGTGTACTGTGCTGACAGTTGCTCATAGACTCAACACTATTATGGACAGTGATAAGGTTTTAGTTATGGACAAAGGACGTATGGTTGAATTCGATCATCCGTGTATTCTATTGAAAAATGATCATGGTCACTTTACATCGCTTGTTAAACAAACAGGCCGTGCAATGACTGATCAATTGATGCGTATTGCGAAACAAGCATATGATAACAAACTTAATGGTTAAAATGTACATTAATTATTTCTAATTAGGTACGATTATTACTGGAATTTATTTAAATGTAATGAAAGTTTTGTATGTATAAATGTAATTCATAAAAAGTTGTAAAAACGAAGTTCGGAGTAGTTAGCGCCAAAAAAAGTCAATTACTTAATTTAATGTTTAAAAAACTAATATTATACACATTATATATTTTCTTGAAATAATTTATGAAGGAATCGCTGGAGTTTACTTAATTAGTTTTATGCAAGAAAAAAAAATGATCCGTAAATCATTGAAACAATTAATTTTGAATTGAATCGTAGCATAACAATGAAAATATTTCTGCTCAAAAATCAAATGATGAAACTTGCTATGAAATAAATTGTAACGAAAGAACTAAATAACGATATTTTTTATATCTTATATAGACAAATTTAATGTATTATTTTTATGCTATACTTTACTGTACATAATAAAGAATAATTAAATAAGATTTGATCCATAGTTTTCCTAATTACTTAATCCGCAGTTGCCGTTATAATTAATAATGTTATTAATTTTACTTATAAAATCCAATAATCTGTTTTTATTTTATGACTATTTATTATTTAACTAGTCGATCCATAAGAATATTTTACACAATATTGTAATCAAAAAACTAATGCTGATATTATAATGTGTAAATAAGACTGATATTTATTACTACTGTAAAAAATAAAATATTTATCATTTATAAAGAATTGCATTTACTCATTCCCACATTATAATATGACCATTCGTTTTTTTTCGATCTCGACATTGTGCAAAATATTATATTCATCAGGTTAGTTATTTTTTTTTTATTTTTATTATATCATTATTAGTTTATTGCTTCTTAGAAGTATACATTCCCATAGCAAGGGGATCATCACAAGTATCAACATATTTAATAATATTATAATAAGTAAAATCAAGTATCACATACAATCAATGTTTAAAAATTCATTTAATAATATAGATTAACATTAAAGGCTTTATCATTAACAGGTTAACACATTTATAATTCAGAAGCTTTGACTTATCGGCTGCCCAATTTTAAAACACAGTAACTGCAAAATTTTTATACCTGATTTTTTTTAGTATTGCTTCATATTTCTTATAACTTTTAGACCTTAATTTAAAATATTTTTTCTTAAAAATATTTAGGGCATTCCATGCCAAATCACCGAGGTTTTGAATCGACCCCCTTTGATTTCGCTGAAACTTTTTTATCATTTTATATCCTACCAAAGACATTTTTCTGAATTTTTTCAGATTTTTTTACCCAACCCAAAAAAAGTTACGAATTTTTGAAAAAAAAAACCGCTTTTTTTTTTAAATTGCAATAACTTTTTCATAAATTGACCTTTCGGCTCTTAATTTTTGTTTTTAATTTTTATTTACAAATGTAGGTTTCAGAAAAAAATACAAAAAATTTTTCGGAAGTCACGAAAACCGTCATTTTTTCGAATTCTGACCCCTTCGATTCTCAATTTTCTTGTCTCAAAAAAAACTTCAATTAAGACAGTATTTAACCCCGCTATTCTCATTTTATGCCGACTCTCCATTCTATTTTTTTTTTTCGATTGAAAATAAAAAAATATCTATTTGTGGCTTATTTTTTTTACTTTGCGCTGAAAATTGTTACTGTGTTTTGAAATTGGGCAGCCGTTATTGGAAAAAAAGCTCTAATTAGACAGGCATTACGGATAAAGTAGTATACTGACTTAAGGTTCATCAGGTTAGTAAATTACATTTATTCGTGTATTCACTTAGTAATAAAATATACTATGACAAAGTTGTTTATATCCTTCGATTTTATTCAAAAATTTATCTCAAAATCCTAGATCTTTATCTTAAAAATATTTTATTACTTTCGCTTTTTTACTCTTTCATTCACTATGTTGTATTAGTTAATTACGCCTGTTTACTCGCATTTGTTCCTTGTTTAATATACAGCAGGGTGAATTTTCTGCTCAAGCCTTTTTCACATATTCATCATAATAGAAAGAAAAATAATTGAATTGAATTTATTGATTTATGCCAAAGCCTTCACTGGCCAGATGGCAATAGAAAAATATACATTTTGTGAATAAAATACATTTTTAAATTTTTGATTTAAACATAATAATTATAACTTATATATAATTATACATAATAAGATATTAGAAGAAGTAATATTGCTTATATACTAATATTGAAGAAACAATTTAAGTGAAAATGAAAACTAATAGATTACAATATTTATGATTTTGATTTTAAAGATTTTAATTTTAATAATTTTAATGATTTAATGGTTTTACTGTATTTAATAATTTTAAAAATTTTAAAGATTTAACTGAAAATTTATTTTAGATTTAGATGTCTAGATTAAAAAGGTAATCATAAAGCTTATTTTTAAGAATTTCTATATACTGGGAGCATTTATCACATCGTTTGGTAATTCTTCCCAAAGACGAATGCAAGTAACTACAAATGATAATTCATAGATAGTTGTAGTAAATTTAGGTAACTTGAAGTTTACATAATTCTTTTTTGCTGCTAGTCTTACAGAATGTCTAGTATCAATATCTTCAATAAATAGTTCTCGTAAGTAGCTAGGTTTGCTTATACTCAACAGTTTATAAAAATAACAAGCTAAGTAGTACATTCGGCGGCTTTTTACTGATAGCCATCCAAGCTCTCGTCTATATGGTGAGATATGTTCATCCTTTTTCAAATTATAAATAAAACGAATCGCTGTATTTAATGAGCGTTGTAATTTACAATTCTCATCAGCAGTACAACTAGTTAATACTATTGAACAATAATCGATAAGTGGTAATATAGTTGCTGAGACTAATAACCTCCTAATGTCTTTAGTATAGATGTTTTTTCTTATTTTTAAACTATATAACGCTGAATTGATTGCGGCTTTAAATTACATCTCACAATACGTTTTCAGAAGAATCAGTAATTCTAAAAATTATTTCATCATCTATACTTATATTCAATTATTTAATAAAATTTCAGGCGTTGTGCATTACAACATAATGTCAATTTTAGAAAAATAATCTGAAAAAAAATTTCTTTTAAAAAAAATGAACATTTTTGTGACAAGAAATTAATTTGTTAGAAATTTTCAATAATTATATTTCTTAGCTAAAAAAATCAAAATTATTCTCACAGTAACCTTCTTGTTGAAAAAAAGTTTTCTAGATTTGGTGAAAAGTTATTCAAAAATTTTTTTTTAGTATAAAAAATATTTAATTTAAAAAAAGAAATTTTTTCTGCTATTATCATAAATTTAAAACCTTATTACGTCGATTAAAGCGACGTAAATTAATCTACTACAAAACTATTCATAAAGATGTTTTATTTTGCAGCGAAAGCATTTTTCATCTAGTTTAAAAAACTGTTAATTTTTGAAAAAAAAAAAAAAAAAATATTTTACGGAGCATTCAGTAGTTTGATTTTTTCTTCTTCAATTTTATTTTTTTTTAAAGAAAATTGAAAATTTTCAAAAATCGGGAAGTTATTGTTTTTTTTTTTTTGTTTTGACACAATGTCACCATATTAAGAAACAATTCTCTGCCATTAAACTGTCGAAATCAATTCGGAGTTTATAATAGCTTAAAAAAAATCTTAATCAAATTTTGATAACTTGTTTTTATCGCATAAAATTGATAAAAAAAATTTCGTAACATTTGGAACCATAAATAAAATAAAAGTACATAGATTTGTACTTGAGATTATTTAGAAGAACATTTATTTAATTTTTTTTATAAAAAATTGAATGTATTTCCTTAAAATTAAAAAACTGTCATCTCATATAAATATGTCAAACTATGACAATGATAAATTTATAGTAGTCTTCTTATTTACTTTAAACAAAATAACTTATCCAAATTAATAAATAGAAAAAAAAAAAAACAATATATATGTGAGACTTTTATTTTATAAGTTTTATTCATTTATACACTTATTGATACGGATAATTTTAACTAAATGACAATATGACTACATAATGACTCTAAGAAAGTCGTTATCTTTATTATATGTAAGGCTTATGGTAGCTTGTTAATACACGGCGTAGAACTAAATACTACGTCAGGATTTACTCAATGTTTTTTTTTAAAGTTATATCTATCAAATTCTTGAGTAGTAAACCTATAAATTCAGAGTGTAATTAATTTTTAATTAGTACGTCCAAAGCTATCAAGCCGAACGGATCGTTTTAAAAATTCAATAGTTTTATTATAAGTACTGAAGAGTGAAGTTTATATTTATTTGAGTTGCAAAATGACGAGAAAAGTTGAAATGAAATTAGAAAAAAATCCTGTTGAAAATGCTAATCCGATAAGTCGATTATTTTTTTGGTGCGTTTAATTTAAAAATTTTGGTTTTTGTTAAGAAAAATATGTTGTAATTGTAATTGTTAACAGGTGGACAGTGAAGTTATTTAAAAAAGGCAATCGAGATGGGCTTACCATGGAAGATATGTATGCTCCATTAGCTCATGATGAGTCTAAGGGTTTAACAAACGAGTTGGAAAAGTATGTAATTTTTTTTATAAATTAAATTTCTCGAGAAACAAAATGGTTGGGTCTAATTATATATTACGAGATATAATTGTGCGTAAATATATAATATAATTTTACACCTAAATTTTTTATATGACCATACGTCTATAGTTATATCCAAATATATCGTTATATACAATTAATTTACCTAAAAATTTTTGATAGTCAAAAATTAACTAAAAGAAGTAGGGGAAGGGGGGCAAAATGGGCCCCTTAAGAAAAAAATGTTGATATCCTTAGTGTTTTTCTCTGGTTTTACTTTTTTTTAGTCCCTTGCCAAGTATTTGACCTCAATTTGCTCTGTTCATTAAAAAAAAAAAATTGAAAATGTGGGGCAAAATGGGCCACCTTCAGAAAATTTTTATAATATGAGTTTTTCAGCTCGTTTTACTTTTTTTGGCCTTTTACTGAGTTTATGGTATTAATTTTTTTGTGTACATCGAAATTAAAAAATTGAGAAAAGTGGGGTAAAACGGGCGTCTTTCTAGAACAAAAATACTATTTATCACCAACCAAACAATCGGACTTGAAATTTCAAAGATGTGTTAAAAAAATACTTTTTAAAATTTTTTTAAATTAAATATCTCTCGAACCAGTCAACCGATTTTGACGTTATTGGCGGCGATTGAAGTGATTTTTTAAGCTCTAAAAATCATCTCGTTGAATCAAAAACGATCCAGGGATAAATGTCGGAGTTATGTAAGAAAAAAACACTTTTTTCCAAATATTTTTTTCAGGATACCTCACAAACGAATCGACCGATTTTGGTCGCGTTGACGGCGATCGACGCAGTTTTTTGGGCTTAAGGGCTGATTAGTTTTTGAAAACGATTGATTCAGCAGATTATATTAAAATTTATTTGAAAAAAAAAACATTTCCTGAAAATTTTATTTTCGAGATTACTTAAAATCAATCGGCTCGAATTACCTTAAATAGTTTAAAATATCTATGGGTAAAGAAACTCTTTCGATTGCTGTCACACACACACGCACGCACACACACACACACGCACACACACACACACGCGCACACACACACACGCACACACACACACGCACACACACACACATTGCCATTATACCTCCCAAACACTTCGAGAGTTGAAAATGTTGGGGGCCCATTTTGCCCCCAAATATTTTTGGATATTGAAAATTTTAGGGGGCCAATTTTGTCCCTAGGGGCCCATTTTGCCCCCCCCCCTCCCCTAAATTTGATTTGATATTTAAATTATGAAGTTAATTTTTTTTATATTGTTAAAATTAACTATTCATATAACAATTTTATAAAGGGCTTGCGTAAGATTGCTCTTAATTTCGATAGTTACTAACGTCGTTTTTCACGTAGGAATCTTGTTGCATATAATTGTGTAATATTCTGATACACTGTCGGAAGGGTGCTTATTAATCTCAGAATATATATCACGAAAATACACTGAGAGAAAATTTATCTTGAAAATAATGGGTATGGCAAAAAATTAAATTGTTAAAAATTTTCAACAATTTTATTTCTTGTTGAAAAAAGTTTTTTTGATTTGTAAAAAAAAATTTTGAATAGACAACACGTGAATTTTCATCCAAATTTTTTTTTTCTGAATCTAGAAAACTTTTTCACCAAAAAAGTTACTTTTAAAAAAATTTTGATTTCTTCAGCTAAGAAATAAAATTGTTAAAAATTATCAATAAATTATAATTTCTAATTATCCGTGTAAAAAAAAACACTATCCGGTTACACCCAATATGGATAGGTAGATTTCTTGGATGAATATTGAAAAAAATATGTAATTTAAAGTTAAAGAAAAAGTAATGGAATAAATTAAGGTTAATTACGTGAAATTTAAGATAAATTTTGTAGTCTTAAGTTATCTTTCACAGTTTGAAAATTATTTCCATTAAATTGACAGAATTCTAATTTTTTTGAAAATAAAAAAAATTTTTTAACAGTCACAAATCGTAAACTAACAGGCTGATTTTGTTCATATTCGAACTTGATCTTGGTATTGACCCATAGATTGAGCCCACAAAATTTCATGACGATCGGTTGAGAACTGTGGGTGCAATCCTGCTGACAGGGCGCGTTATAAGTACTATGACAAAATTTTCTTAACTTAAAATTACGACATGAAATCAGCTACAACAGATAAACATCCAAAGAAATCTATCTAAAGATTGTTCCAAAAATGTCCAAAAAATATTCCAAGCGTGGACATCAAAACGTGACATAATAAAGGACATTTTTGGGATAATTTTGAAACATTACATAAATAATCGGATATTCTCAAATATTGCATTTTAAGCACTTTTTCATGAATTTTAAGTATTTTTAAATACTTTTTTGGACATTTCAGGTATACTTTTTAGGCAATTTTAGTCTATTTCAAACGATTTAGTAAAAATTATGTCCTTAGAATCTTATGTGGAACATTTTTTGAATAATCTTGGAACATTTTTTTAACAATTTGAGAATATATTTTGGAAAATTTTGGAACACTTTTTAGACAATCATGGAACCTTGTATACAACATTGCTCAATTTTTTCAAAAAATTTTTCATTTTTATAACTCTTGGTTATTCAACGAGTATTTTTGCAATTGTTTAATAAAATCGAAATTTTGTTATTTTCATTTATTTAAATATAACATGACATGTTATAGATAATAGTATGTTCGAAGATATATCTTCTCATAGAAAATTTGATCCTGCCAATATTTAAATCTAATTAAATGTCATCAGATCTAATAATTTCTTCTCGGGTTAACAAATTATTAAATAACAATCACGTTTAATCAGGGCATGGAACGATGAGCTCAAAAAAAGTATGCGCAAAAAGCCAAATAACATTCACGATGGAAACCAAATAAAACCACCAGAACCCAGTTTAATCAAAGCTATCTTCCGAACATTTTGGTTAAAAAATTTGTACATCGGACTGCTTTTACTTTTTCAAACAGTAATTTTGCGCAGTGTCCAGCCTATTTTCCAAGCCCAGGTAATAAGTTTTTTCGATTCTGGAGATAAGAATTCAACAACACGCAATGAAACTTTGGGGTATGCAACCGCTCTTATTGCTACAACGCTTGGAGTCACGTTTATTATGCACCATACGAATGTTGACAGTCAACAAATTGGGATGAGAATACGAATAGCTTGCTCTTCGCTTATTTACAGAAAAGTAAGCCATCCATTTTTATTAACATGTATTAATTTAAATAATGAAGAATAAATTACTAGAATGCAAAATAAAGAACATGCATTTAGGGTAAATGCACCAGTTGTTGACCGGTCACCAATTAGTTGACCGATGTATAAAAAAGTTAATTAATTAATATTTTACAAGGGTTTTTTT